AGTGAGAGAGTGAGTGAGTGAGAGAGTGAGTGAGTGAGAGAGTGAGTGAGTGAGAGAGTGAGTGAGTGAGAGAGTGAGTGAGTGAGAGAGTGAGTGAGTGAGAGAGTGAGTGAGTGAGAGAGTGAGTGAGTGAGAGAGTGAGTGAGTGAGAGAGTGAGTGAGTGAGAGAGTGAGTGAGTGAGAGAGTGAGTGAGTGAGAGAGTGAGTGAGTGAGAGAGTGAGTGAGTGAGAGAGTGAGTGAGTGAGAGAGTGAGTGAGTGAGAGAGTGAGTGAGTGAGAGAGTGAGTGAGTGAGAGAGTGAGTGAGTGAGAGAGTGAGTGAGTGAGAGAGTGAGTGAGTGAGAGAGTGAGTGAGTGAGAGAGTGAGTGAGTGAGAGAGTGAGTGAGTGAGAGAGTGAGTGAGTGAGAGAGTGAGTGAGTGAGAGAGTGAGTGAGTGAGAGAGTGAGTGAGTGAGAGAGTGAGTGAGTGAGAGAGTGAGTGAGTGAGAGAGTGAGTGAGTGAGAGAGTGAGTGAGTGAGAGAGTGAGTGAGTGAGAGAGTGAGTGAGTGAGAGAGTGAGTGAGTGAGAGAGTGAGTGAGTGAGAGAGTGAGTGAGTGAGAGAGTGAGTGAGTGAGAGAGTGAGTGAGTGAGAGAGTGAGTGAGTGAGAGAGTGAGTGAGTGAGAGAGTGAGTGAGTGAGAGAGTGAGTGAGTGAGAGAGTGAGTGAGTGAGAGAGTGAGTGAGTGAGAGAGTGAGTGAGTGAGAGAGTGAGTGAGTGAGAGAGTGAGTGAGTGAGAGAGTGAGTGAGTGAGAGAGTGAGTGAGTGAGAGAGTGAGTGAGTGAGAGAGTGAGTGAGTGAGAGAGTGAGTGAGTGAGAGAGTGAGTGAGTGAGAGAGTGAGTGAGTGAGAGAGTGAGTGAGTGAGAGAGTGAGTGAGTGAGAGAGTGAGTGAGTGAGAGAGTGAGTGAGTGAGAGAGTGAGTGAGTGAGAGAGTGAGTGAGTGAGAGAGTGAGTGAGTGAGAGAGTGAGTGAGTGAGAGAGTGAGTGAGTGAGAGAGTGAGTGAGTGAGAGAGTGAGTGAGTGAGAGAGTGAGTGAGTGAGAGAGTGAGTGAGTGAGAGAGTGAGTGAGTGAGAGAGTGAGTGAGTGAGAGAGTGAGTGAGTGAGAGAGTGAGTGAGTGAGAGAGTGAGTGAGTGAGAGAGTGAGTGAGTGAGAGAGTGAGTGAGTGAGAGAGTGAGTGAGTGAGAGAGTGAGTGAGTGAGAGAGTGAGTGAGTGAGAGAGTGAGTGAGTGAGAGAGTGAGTGAGTGAGAGAGTGAGTGAGTGAGAGAGTGAGTGAGTGAGAGAGTGAGTGAGTGAGAGAGTGAGTGAGTGAGAGAGTGAGTGAGTGAGAGAGTGAGTGAGTGAGAGAGTGAGTGAGTGAGAGAGTGAGTGAGTGAGAGAGTGAGTGAGTGAGAGAGTGAGTGAGTGAGAGAGTGAGTGAGTGAGAGAGTGAGTGAGTGAGAGAGTGAGTGAGTGAGAGAGTGAGTGAGTGAGAGAGTGAGTGAGTGAGAGAGTGAGTGAGTGAGAGAGTGAGTGAGTGAGAGAGTGAGTGAGTGAGAGAGTGAGTGAGTGAGAGAGTGAGTGAGTGAGAGAGTGAGTGAGTGAGAGAGTGAGTGAGTGAGAGAGTGAGTGAGTGAGAGAGTGAGTGAGTGAGAGAGTGAGTGAGTGAGAGAGTGAGTGAGTGAGAGAGTGAGTGAGTGAGAGAGTGAGTGAGTGAGAGAGTGAGTGAGTGAGAGAGTGAGTGAGTGAGAGAGTGAGTGAGTGAGAGAGTGAGTGAGTGAGAGAGTGAGTGAGTGAGAGAGTGAGTGAGTGAGAGAGTGAGTGAGTGAGAGAGTGAGTGAGTGAGAGAGTGAGTGAGTGAGAGAGTGAGTGAGTGAGAGAGTGAGTGAGTGAGAGAGTGAGTGAGTGAGAGAGTGAGTGAGTGAGAGAGTGAGTGAGTGAGAGAGTGAGTGAGTGAGAGAGTGAGTGAGTGAGAGAGTGAGTGAGTGAGAGAGTGAGTGAGTGAGAGAGTGAGTGAGTGAGAGAGTGAGTGAGTGAGAGAGTGAGTGAGTGAGAGAGTGAGTGAGTGAGAGAGTGAGTGAGTGAGAGAGTGAGTGAGTGAGAGAGTGAGTGAGTGAGAGAGTGAGTGAGTGAGAGAGTGAGTGAGTGAGAGAGTGAGTGAGTGAGAGAGTGAGTGAGTGAGAGAGTGAGTGAGTGAGAGAGTGAGTGAGTGAGAGAGTGAGTGAGTGAGAGAGTGAGTGAGTGAGAGAGTGAGTGAGTGAGAGAGTGAGTGAGTGAGAGAGTGAGTGAGTGAGAGAGTGAGTGAGTGAGAGAGTGAGTGAGTGAGAGAGTGAGTGAGTGAGAGAGTGAGTGAGTGAGAGAGTGAGTGAGTGAGAGAGTGAGTGAGTGAGAGAGTGAGTGAGTGAGAGAGTGAGTGAGTGAGAGAGTGAGTGAGTGAGAGAGTGAGTGAGTGAGAGAGTGAGTGAGTGAGAGAGTGAGTGAGTGAGAGAGTGAGTGAGTGAGAGAGTGAGTGAGTGAGAGAGTGAGTGAGTGAGAGAGTGAGTGAGTGAGAGAGTGAGTGAGTGAGAGAGTGAGTGAGTGAGAGAGTGAGTGAGTGAGAGAGTGAGTGAGTGAGAGAGTGAGTGAGTGAGAGAGTGAGTGAGTGAGAGAGTGAGTGAGTGAGAGAGTGAGTGAGTGAGAGAGTGAGTGAGTGAGAGAGTGAGTGAGTGAGAGAGTGAGTGAGTGAGAGAGTGAGTGAGTGAGAGAGTGAGTGAGTGAGAGAGTGAGTGAGTGAGAGAGTGAGTGAGTGAGAGAGTGAGTGAGTGAGAGAGTGAGTGAGTGAGAGAGTGAGTGAGTGAGAGAGTGAGTGAGTGAGAGAGTGAGTGAGTGAGAGAGTGAGTGAGTGAGAGAGTGAGTGAGTGAGAGAGTGAGTGAGTGAGAGAGTGAGTGAGTGAGAGAGTGAGTGAGTGAGAGAGTGAGTGAGTGAGAGAGTGAGTGAGTGAGAGAGTGAGTGAGTGAGAGAGTGAGTGAGTGAGAGAGTGAGTGAGTGAGAGAGTGAGTGAGTGAGAGAGTGAGTGAGTGAGAGAGTGAGTGAGTGAGAGAGTGAGTGAGTGAGAGAGTGAGTGAGTGAGAGAGTGAGTGAGTGAGAGAGTGAGTGAGTGAGAGAGTGAGTGAGTGAGAGAGTGAGTGAGTGAGAGAGTGAGTGAGTGAGAGAGTGAGTGAGTGAGAGAGTGAGTGAGTGAGAGAGTGAGTGAGTGAGAGAGTGAGTGAGTGAGAGAGTGAGTGAGTGAGAGAGTGAGTGAGTGAGAGAGTGAGTGAGTGAGAGAGTGAGTGAGTGAGAGAGTGAGTGAGTGAGAGAGTGAGTGAGTGAGAGAGTGAGTGAGTGAGAGAGTGAGTGAGTGAGAGAGTGAGTGAGTGAGAGAGTGAGTGAGTGAGAGAGTGAGTGAGTGAGAGAGTGAGTGAGTGAGAGAGTGAGTGAGTGAGAGAGTGAGTGAGTGAGTGAGTGATACAGTTCATATATTATGATTCTGGATAAACAGGAAGTGACGTTGAACTAGTCTGAGTGGCGGAGGGATACGACCAGGAGGAGGTGCTTCTAGTTTTCACTCTGTATTTCACAGCACTTCCTGTTTCCTGTTCTGCTTCAGCTTTAAACGGTTTTAGTTTTGAAAACAGCACTTTGCTTTCAGATCCTGACGCTGCACAGGCCGGTCCAAGACATTGACCCCCCCCCCCCCCCCCCCTCGCCCTTTCTTTCACTCCCTGAAAAGACTCCTCTGGCTTTTGTTTTCCTGAAAAGGAAACTGGGGACGTCCCCACCTTTTTTTCTTCAGAGAGAAACCCCCCCCCCCTTTTCTGACAAGTTGAAAATGGAACCATCTAAATTGGGGGGGGGGGGGGGGGGGGTGTTGTGTAGGGGACATAAATCAAGTGGAAACACAGACTTTCACGGCGGGGCGGGGGGTCGTGGGCAGTTCAGAAGGCTTTAAGATGAGGAGGGGAAGGGCGGGGGGGCACAGGAGGTGTTGGGTCATAGGTCACACATACCAGGATCATGGCTTTCAAAAGTGTACTTAGAAGGGGACATGTATGAACGCACCCCCCCCCCCCCCCCCGATTTCAGGTATAATAATCTCACCTGTAGAAACAGTCGACCGAACTCCAGGATTAAAGATTCAAACTGCAGAAACATGAATCACATCGACGCTGCTCAAAGCTGTTTCTTCTTCTTCTTTGTTTTATTTAAAGTGCTGACCCATCCGAAGAGAGGGGGCTCTGAGCCTGTCTTCTGATTGGCTCACTACTTTCTGAGTGATCCAATGAAAGTACAAATACAGCAGATGAGTTTCACCAGCTGATGAAAACAAACAGTTTCAGCTGTTGAACTAAACCGTTACCTAACCCGCTAACCCGCTCATCTGCTAACCCGCTCACCTGCTAACCCGCTCATCTGCTAACCCGCTCACCTGCTAACCCGCTCACCCGCTAACCCGCTCACCCGCTAACCCGCTCACCTGCTAACCTGCTAACCCGCTAACCCGCTTATCTGCTCACCCGCTCATCCGCTCACCCGCTCACCCGCTCACCCGCTAACCCGCTAACCCGCTTATCTGCTAACCCGCTCACCCGCTCACCCGCTCACCTGCTAACCTGCTAACCCGCTAACTGTTTGAGCTGATAAACCGTCGTCGTGCTCCGTCATGAACATTTTCATATTTTCTATCAAACATAATGAATTTTTTCCTTCAATTCTTCCAAAACATTTTCTCTGTAAAGAACAAACTCAGCAGCCAGATGTTCCACTGGACCGACAGATGTTCTCTGAGCTTCCACATGAAGCAGGGTTCATGTATTAGACAGGAAACATCACGTATGATAGAAACTTCAGATGTGGAGTGTGTGGTGAGGCATTCGATGTCCCTCGGTGAATCAGAGCTTCACGTCTCTGCGTGTCCCGCTGACCAGACATCTTTTATTTCCTCTCTTCTTCTCCTCTCGTCCTCAGGTTCATCAACGCCAGGCGGCGGATCGTCCAGCCGATGATCGACCAGTCCAACAGAGCAGGTGAGTCCCGAGCGTCCAGGTAGCTCCAGTCACCAGCGCACAGACACTTTGATGCTTCAAGTCAAATTCAAAGCTCGAGGAAATCTTAATCTGGCGAGCTGTAAAAGTGATCAGAGAAATCTTCAGATCAATTCTTAAACCAACAGAGAAGAAGAGACTTGATGTCGCCTGTTAGCACCAGTGAGAAGTTGCTGGATTCTGGTCGGAGGTGATTTATGGTTTATGTTCCCGTCGAGTCCTTTTCCAGATCAGGGTCAGAGAGTTCTGGTTCTGGTTCTGGTTCTTATGTTGTCATGACGTTGTGTTCGGAGCAGAGCTCCTTCACTTCAACAGACCGGGGGCCGCGGTCACGCTGAGTGGGACTGATGGACTGAACTGTTTTTATTGGTCTTTACCTGCGTTTTCTTAAATGAGCTTATTCAGTTCCCGTCACCCGTCACCCGTCCTGCACGGTGCTGTTAAACCAGAAACACTGTGGAGACTAAAGAGTGAAGCAGCATCTGAAATAAGTTTTAAACTCTCTCTGATGAAGCGTCTCACCTGGAGGCTCCGACACTTTAACAGCAGAGGCCTGAGGATGAGTTAGCATGGTGGCTAGCAGCTCACTCTCTCTCTCCTTGTTGAGTCTTCAGTCGGAACAGAAAGACAAACTGGACTGTTGCTGGAAAAGGAGTCGATCTGCTTTAATTAGCAGGTTTACCCTCATTAAAGAATCTGCTCGTACCTGATACTGTTGGTGGAAGAGGTGTGGCCTATGCAGAGGAGTGTGTTTACCTGCTGGTTGTGAGTCTTTTCCTGGTTGGATAATATTCAACAGTAGAAGAAGAAAGCAACTATGACATGTACCACTGTCATGACTTTTAATTTTATTATTAAAATCATATTTCTTGTTTGAGTGACTAAGAACAAAGTGGTTTCAGTTCAGGACCAACACGTCATGAGGAGTTGAGAGCCGCAGGTCTTCCAGGTGTCTCAGGTCTTCCAGGTGTCTCAGGTCGTCCAGGTGTCTCAGGTCGTCCAGGTGTCTCAGGTCTTCCAGGTGTCTCAGGTCGTCCAGGTGTCTCAGGTCGTCCAGGTGTCTCAGGTCGTCCAGGTGTCTCAGGTGTCTCAGAGGTGGAGGAGGATTACCTGATGGAACAGAAGCAGGATGCTGCAGTGGGACTCCTGAGTTGGAGTGGACCCAGAAGCTTAAGCTGCAGGATTGAATGGCCTCAGCAGGATTAGCTCCAGACAAAGATGCTAATCGCTTTGACTGGACTCTCCATTGAACACTTTAACCTGGGATTAAAACAAATGGGAGCCCAGCTAGAGCGGGGGCTAAAGTCCCGCTAGCCTTTTGGCCCCTAAGCTTTGTTAGCATTAACCCCGGGGGCTGACTCCCAACCCCCCTACCCCCGGCGACTGAGGAGACTCTCTTCACCCCCCCCCCCCACAACATCTAATAATCTACAACGGAAACAGCCACAGACTAAACAGGAGCTTTAAACACATCAGAGTCTGTGATCTTGTCGTTTCCCAGCAGCATTTGAACGCAGCATCTCAGGCCTCCGTAGATTTTCCTTCTTGACCTCAGAGGTTCAAACAAAAAACCAGATCTCACTGTCACTTTAACAGATTTATTAGCAGTGATAATTATAACTCTCATTATTGTGTCAAGGCTGAGTGTCTCCCTGGTTCCTCACCCCCCTCACCCTCTCTCACCCCCCCTCACCCTCTGGGTTACGCTGCAGGTGTCGCCTGTGAAGATTGAACCTTATAAACCACATGAAAACATAAAAACACAGGTTTCAGTTAAAGCAGTTTGTATCGCAGTGATTTATTTGAACTGAATATTGATTTATAAACGTGAAGAACTGAAGTCGTTGTTTCCTTCTGCCAGAGACGAGCTGAGTGTCTGTGACGGACAGCAGCTGTCAGCCCCTCCCCCTCCTCTCAGTGTGAACGTGACGGTGAGATAATGAAACAGTCGTTTCCCTCTCTGTCCGCAGTGAGCCAGGCGGGACCGTACGGCCCAGATGGTCAGCCAATGGGAGGCTTCGTCATGGACGGACAGACACACATGGGAATCAGACCACCTGGTAAACACACACATTCTTACTGAAGGGTGATCACACAGAAATAAACGGGTTCATGTCAGGACTCACACTCCACCTATGAAGCTGGTTTATTCTTAGCACCAGGGGCTAACAGAGGTGCTAACAAAGGAGCTACCAGGGGTGATAACAGAGGGGATAACAGAGGAGCTAACAGAGGGGCTAACAGAGGAGCTAACAGAGGGGCTAACAGAGGGGCTGACAGAGGGGCTAACAGGGGATAACAGAGGAGCTAACAGAGGGGCTAAAAGAGGAGCGAGTGTGTGTGTGCGTGTGTGTGTGTGTGTGTGTGTGCGTGTGCGTGTGTGTGTGTGTGTGTGTGTGCGTGTGCGTGTGTGTGTGTGTGTGTGTGTGCGTGTGCGTGTGTGTGTGTGTGTGTGTGTGCGTGTGCGTGTGTGTGTGTGTGTGTGTGTGCGTGTGCGTGTGTGTGTGTGTGTGTGTGTGCGTGTGCGTGTGTGTGTGTGTGTGTGTGTGCGTGTGCGTGTGTGTGTGTGTGTGTGTGTGCGTGTGCGTGTGTGTGTGTGTGTGTGTGTGCGTGTGCGTGTGTGTGTGTGTGTGTGTGTGCGTGTGCGTGTGTGTGTGTGTGTGTGTGTGCGTGTGCGTGTGTGTGTGTGTGTGTGTGTGCGTGTGCGTGTGTGTGTGTGTGTGTGTGTGCGTGTGCGTGTGTGTGTGTGTGTGTGTCAGGTCCTATAGGTGGGATGGGGATGGGTGTGGAGGGACAGTGGCACTACATGTAGCACCAGCACCACCCTGCAGCCAGAGGAGCCGCCCAGCGACCCAGGACACCACGGTGAGTGACTCCAGTCCAACAACAGTCAGTGTGTCGATGCTGAAAGACAAAGAGACGAAACAACCACAGAAGCTGCGTTTCCACCGCAGGAACCAGGGTCTAACTTTAGTTCCGGGGGAATCGGGGGCGTAGTACTTTCTAAAGGTTCAGGGACTCTGGGGGTGTGGCCTGCAGTGCTGAACATCACGGTGAAACAGGTCGGGGAGAAGGTAAAGAAACTGAAGCAGGACTTCAAAATAAGAGAAAATTTGAGTTGAATCTAATTTTTTGAACTTCAATTAAATGTGTAGACTCAATGATGAGGAGCCCCTGGTTGTCTGGGCCCCTGGGTGTCTGGGCCCCTGGGTGTCTGGGCCCCTGAGTGTCTGGGCCCCTGAGTGTCTGGGCCCCTGAGTGTCTGGGGTTCTGGGTATCGGCCCCTGGGCAGTGGTCCGCTTGCTTGATCTCAAACCACAAACCGTGCGACATGAAGAAGAGCGGACAGACGCTGTACGACGACACGACGTCAAACCGTCTGTGCTGCTCTTCACTAGTTAAAGCAGCTCCTCTGATTTAAAGGTCAATTAATCCTCTGAGATCCTCTTCATGTTCCGTCTAACGAGCTGATCATTAGTGAGAGACGCACAACGCTCTCATCTCTTTATTTGATTACACAGAGTCCAATTACTCCGTAAGCTGTTTGTATTACTGGGGGGGGGGGCGGTGAATACAGCGCGGGGAGGGAGAGATTAGGAGGGAGGACGTTTACGGGT